TCCTACAATGTGATTTTCGGGAAAAAAAATTCTCATTTTGTCTGTCATAGTTGACGTGTACCTATGATGAAAATTACAGGCCTCTCTCATCTTTTTAAGTGGGAGAACTTGCACAATTGGTGGCTGACTAAATACTTTTTTTCCCCACTGTATCAAATACTTATGTCATGCAATAAAATGCAAATTAATTACTTAAAAATCATACAATGTGATTTTCTGGATTTTTGTTTTAGATTCCGTCTCTCACCGTTGAAGTGTACCTATGATAAAAATTACAGACCTCTACATGCTTTTAAGTAGGAAAACCTGCAAAATCGGCAGTGTATCAAATACTTGTTCTCCCCACTGCTCAAAAAAATAAAGGGAACACTAAAGTAACACATCCTAGATCTGAATGAATGAAATAATCTTATTAAATACTTTTTTCTTTACATAGTTGAATGTGCTGACAACAAAATCACACAAAAATTATCGATGGAAATCAAATTTATCAACCCATGGAGGTCTGGATTTGGAGTCACCCTCAAAATTAAAGTGGAAAACCACACTACAGGCTGATCCAACTTTGATGTAATGTACATAAAACAAGTCAAAATTATGCTCAGTAGTGTGTGTGGCTTCCACGTGCCTGTATGACCTCCCTACAACGCCTGGGCATGCTCCTGATGAGGTGGCGGATGGTCTCCTGAGGGATCTCCTCCCAGACCTGGACTAAAGCATCCGCCAACTCCTGGACAGTCTGTGGTGCAACGTGGCGTTGGTGGATGGAGCGAGACATGATGTCCCAGATGTGCTCAATTGGATTCAGGTCTGGGGAACGGGCGGGCCAGTCCATAGCATCAATGCCTTCCTCTTGCAGGAACTGCTGACACACTCCAGCCACATGAGGTCTAGTATTGTCTTGCATTAGGAGGAACCCAGGGCCAACCGCACCAGCATATGGTCTCACAAGGGGTCTGAGGATCTCATCTCGGTACCTAATGGCAGTCAGGCTACCTCTGGTGAGCACATGGAGGGCTGTGCGGCCCCCAAAGAAATGCCACCCAACACCATGACTGACCCACCGCCAAACCGGTCATGCTGGAGGATGTTGCAGGCAGCAGAACGTTCTCCACGGCGTCTCCAGACTCTGTCACGTCTGTCACATGTGCTCAGTGTGAACCTGCTTTCATCTGTGAAGAGCACAGGGCGCCAGTGGCGAATTTGCCAATCTTGGTGTTCTCTGGCAAATGCCAAACGTCCTACACGGTGTTGGGCTGTAAGCACAACCCCCACCTGTGGACGTCGGGCCCTCATACCACCCTCATTGAGTCTGTTTCTGACCGTTTGAGCAGACACATGCACATTTGTGGCCTGCTGGAGGTCATTTTGCAGGGCTCTGGCAGTGCTCCTCCTGCTCCTCCTTGCACAAAGGCGGAGGTAGCAGTCCTGCTGCTGGGTTGTTGCCCTCCTACGGCCTCCTCCACATCTCCTGATGTACTGGCCTGTCTCCTGGTAGCGCCTCCATGCTCTGGACACTACGCTGACAGACACAGCAAACCTTCTTGCTACAGCTCGCATTGATGTGCCATCCTGGATTAGCTGCACTACCTGAGCCACTTGTGTGGGTTGTAGACTCTGTCTCATAATACCACTAGAGTGAAAGCACCGCCAGCATTCAAAAGTGACCAAAACATCAGCCAAGAAGCATAGGAACTGAGAAGTGGTCTGTGGTCACCACCTGCAAAACCAGTCCTTTATTGGGGGTGTCTTGCTAATTGCCTATAATTTCCACCTGTTGTCTATTCCATTTGTACAACAGCATGTGACATTTATTGTCAATCAGTGTTGCTTCCTAAGTGGACAGTTTGATTTCACAGAAGTGTGATTGACTTGGAGTTACATTGTGTTGTTTAAGTGTTCCCTTTATTTTTTTGAGCAGTGTATATATGACTCTTGGCTTTCATTTGACACCCAATTTAACATACTCCTATGAACTTCACATGCTGGTGGTCATGGGTCCGTTTTAGGTGGAAATGCCCAGTATCGGCTTCATTCTGTATTTTCCACCTATAGAAAAATAGAAGATTGAAATATCACTAGATGTTATTTCACTGTTGTCAGAGGGATGCACAAATAAGACTGTGTACAGCTGAACTGCTAAAATACTGGGGTTTTAGGATTATTCCAACATATCGGATTGCCTTATTTTCTAGCTCTGCCTTGTAGAAATGTTTGTTGTGTACACTTTAATAAATGCAGGGACCTGTTAAATCCGGGAACCGGTAAATGATGTAAACTTCATTAATATTCAAATTGAAAATGCATCAACGTAATGTTTTCTGCATCTCTTCAAATGTGATGTGGCATATAACAACCCAACTTCCACGGTAAAATAATTGACTAAACACGATTCAATTTGCATATTAATGAGTGAGATGACAGATTATAATATTTGCCCTTTTTTCCCTTACCCTTCTATAATTTCAGGCATCTTATTTTCTTGGAATAGCTAATAGCTTTGAAAAAACAAATGGATAACTTTAAGAACAATGAAACCTAATTTTTTATTGAATGTTCATCAAAGCCTTTCTAGTGACATTTTTGTTTCCGTGTGAGAGGAATTCTAAGTATGTACACTGAACAAAAATATAAACTCAACATGTAAAGTGTTGGTCCCATGTTTCACAAGCTGAAATAAAAGATCCCCAAAATTTTCCAGACGCACAAAAGCTTATTTCTCTCAAAGTTTGTGCACACATTTTTTTAGTGAGCATTTCTCCTTTGCCAAGATAATCCATCCACCTGACAAGTGTGGCATATCAAGAAGCTGATTAAACAGCATGATCATTACACAGGTGCACCTTGTGCTGGGGACAATAAAAGGCCACTCTAAAATGTGCAGTTTTGTCACACAACACAATGCCACAGATGTCTCAAGTTTTGAGGGAGCATGCAATTGGCATGCTGACTGCAGGAATGTCCACCAGAGCTGTTGCCAGAGAATTGAATGTTTATTTCTCTAACATTTCTCCACCTCCAACGTTGTTTTGGAGAATTTGGCAGTACGTCCAACCGGCCTCACAACCGCAGACCACATGTAACCTCGCCAGCCCAGGTCCTCCACATCCGGCTTCTTCACCTGCGGGATCATCTGAGGCCAGCCACCCGGACAGCTGATGAAACTGAGGAGTATTTCTGTCTGTAATAAAGCCCTTTTGTGGGGAAAAAACTCATTCTGATTGGCAGGTCCTGGCTCCCAAGTGGGTGGGCCTATGCCCTCCCAGGCCCACCCATGGCTGTGCCCCCGCTTTGTCATGTGAAATCCATAGATTAGGGCCTATTTTATTTATTTCAATTGACTGATTTCCATACTTGAACTGTAGCTCAGTAAAATCGTTGAAATTGTTGCATGTTGTGTTTATAGTTTTGTTCAGTATATATAATTAACCTCACCAGTTATGTTTTAGCCTAGCTTTTTTGGTAACTTGTTAAAGAAGTGTTATTTTACGCCTAAATGCTGTTATTTATCTTCCTTCTTGCTTCATATGTGTTTGTCACGCCGTTCTGTGAATGTCTGTTACCATTTTCTGTCAAAGGTGACACATTTAAACTTTGAAAAAGCTTTAAAATACACAGAGCCTTTGAGGAAATTATAGCTTTTTAAATGTCAAGTCTATTTTACATTTGTAAAAGTCCTATTGAAAAATGGCGGTTACCATTTCATTCTTGTAAGAACTACAATTTAATGATTTGAATGCCCTCTTCCACTTCTTTGGGATCTTAACATCTAGCTGCTGTATGGAGAAAAGTGGCAAAACGGCAGTGACAGAGCCATAGATAGGAGGTGTTATATGTGTACAGCAACCTCTTTGTTCCGTTGTAGCCACTACCCCATAATGACAAAGCATAAACAGGTTTTTAGAAATGTTTGCTCATTTATAAAAAATTAAAATAACATATCACATTTACATAAGTATTCAGACCCTTTACTCAGTACTTTGTTGAAGCACCTTTGGCAGCAATTACAGACTCAAGTCTTCTTGTGTATGACACTACACGCATGGAATTTATTCCATTCTTCTCTGCAGATCCTCTCAAGGTCTGTCAGGTTGAATGGGGAGCGTTGCAGCACAGCTATTTTCAGGTCTCTCCAGAGATGTTCGATCGGGTTCAAGTCCGGGTTCTGGCTGGGCCACTCAAGGATATTCAGAGACTTGTCCCGAAGCCACTCCTGCGTTGTCTTGGCTGTGTGCGCTTAGGGTCGTTGTCCTGTTGGAAGGTGAACCTTCACCCCAGTCTGAGGTCCTGAGCGCTCTGGAGCAGGTTTTCATCAAAGATCTCTCTGTACTTTGCTCCGTTCATCTTTACCTCGATCCTGACTAGTCTCCCAGTCCCTGTAGGAAGAGTCTTGGTGGTTCCAAACTCCTTCCACTTAAGAATGATGGAGGCCACTGTGTTCTTGGGGACCTTCAATGCTGCAGACATTTTTTGGTACCCTTCCCCAGATCTGTACCTCGACATAATCCTGTCTCGGAACTCTACGGACAATTCCTTCGATCTCATGGCTTGGTTTTTGCTCTGACATGCACTGTCAACTGTGGGACCTTATATAGACGGGTGTTTGCCTTTCCAAATCAAACATTTCTAAAAACCTGTTTTCGCTTTGTCATTATGGGGTATTGTGTGTAGGTTGCTGAGGATTGTTTTTTATTTAGTCGTGGTAGTGGGTTCGATCCCCGGGACCACCCATACACAAAAAAAATAACAATTATGCACGCATGACTAAGTCGCTTTGGATAAAAGCATCTGCTAAATGGCATATTATTATTATTATTATTATTTAGTCAATTTTAGAATAAGGCTGTAACGTAACAAAATGTGGAAAAAGTCAAGGGGTCTGAATACCTTCCGAAGGCACTGTATATCTAGGCAATACAATTAAAGTAGATGGAAAGTCTCTCAAAAGTGAGTCAAAACCATTCACTCATCAGTCATCTGCATTTCTCTTTCCTTCGCAGACGATGAAGATGGAGACAGATGTATTTAACCCTTCTCACACTGCAGAGCTCCAGTTCCTCAGGTCACGGGTTCGGGAACTGGAGAAAGAGAAGGCCGAAATGGCGGCTGAAAACCAATGGCTGCAAAACATGCTAGTAAAGGGTGAGGATGAGTAAGGTCAATATAGTTTTATAATGCAACTGCTCTAAATTGATCACATTCCCTCATGCATGTTTCTTCTTAACTTTGTGGTGTCATCCCTCAGAGATCCCTGGCCTGCTGTCTACCATGTGGCAGAACTTGGGCCAAGCCAACCAGCCCCCCAACCCTGCAGTATCCCCACAGGCTGTCTCCACGGCAACAGTGAGGGGCGAGAGCTACACATACACACACCACTCTGTGTCAGGACACTCTGGCCGAGGGTTCAGTCCCCCACTTCATCATCATCATCCCATGTCCAACCGCTCAGCTATGACTCAGGACGACGTGAATGGAAGCATGTCAAACTTTGGACCCAAGATGGCCGTCAGTGAGCACAGTGTGGACGGAGACTTTGAGCTGAGTGACATCGCAGAGGACGACGACCCCCACAGCTCTCTGTGTGGCTCAGCAACCGACCTACCCGGGATGAGGACATGCTCAGAGACACACTGTATTAGTGGGACTGGCCATGTAAGGAAACATGCTGTTCATTCCAGAAAAATACAGATTGTTAACGTAGCCACTATTAACATATCGAGACCTTGGGACTATAAGGTTCTATATGAAATGTTGGTCTAAAATGAGTTAGTCACATATAATTGATCTTGAGATGGTTCTTCATATTTGAACTTGGCACTATAAGGTTCTGTCTGCAATCCAATCACAAGCCTGAACAAATACAGAAAAAACCAACACTGTCAGAAATCTTCAAGTAAATTATGTTGTCACATCGTTGTTCAGTGATGACCGTAATTTTTCTGATGATCATAATACATTTCTTTATGTATTTGATGATGTGTTCTGACTATCTTGGTAAAATAGTGTTATTCTATCATTAATGTATTCAAATATCTATATTTATCTTAAAAACTGAACATGTCTAATTCAGAAGTGTCTTATATAACCTTATTGAACCCAGATTGACATTTCAGAGCCATAAGGTTCTATATGCAATTGCACCCCCCTAAAGAAACAGATTTACAAATGTCTCAGGATTTTGATACTCTGCACTTTAGGTATCTTTAAGGTGAGGACCTTCATGGGTTATGAAAGAAGAATTCAGTACAAAACAGTTCTGAGATCTGGGATGTAAAAACTTTGATGCTCAATATCTCAGAACTATTCTTTGCGCAGATAGAATCTAATAGTCCCAAGGACACGATATTGATCCTCCAAATGTTATGGAGGTGTAAATGGGTTTTGATTCTGATCACATTTGCACTGTCTCTCCCAATTGGCTGTGCAGGTAAACCAGGTGGAGGTATACCCAGGTTCCGGCGTCTTCTGTGAAATGCGGTCCTGGCACGCAGCCAATCAGACGCAGTCTCCCACGGCAATGGCGCGCATCCTGTTGCTGGGCGTGTTCGACATGGACACCCTGCTGAACAGCAACCTGCGAGGGGGGCGGAGCCGCAGACCAACCTTTCCCAACCACCGCACCGCCCTGGACCCACACAAGCTCAACGCCATCTATAGTACGTGAATACCTGATCCACAGCCTTACAAACAACCTTTACCACATTTCATTGTATTTTTCTCCAAGTTCACTTGGTCATTCATTGATGAGTGAAAGCACTCACCTTCTCGATCATTAGAAAGATACAGTGGGGTCTGAAATGATTGACACCCGTAATAAAGATGAGCAGTAATGACTGTATAAAATAAATAATTCAAATAATATTATATTGTATAATATGCTCATAAAATTGGGAAATTATTTTATACTCATACAATTGCTCAGAAAATAGATTTTGTTTAACAAGTAATATTTTTTTGCTCAGAAAGGTAGGGGTCAAATATATTGACACCCCTAAAGATTCTTATAAATAAAGTAGTCCAACATTTTTGTATTTTGTCCCATACTCCTAGTATGGAATGACTACATCAAACTTGTGACTACAAACTTGTTGGATGCATTTGCAGTTGGTTTTGATTGTGTATCAGATTATTTTGTGCCCAATGGAAATGAATGCTAAATAATGTATTATGTTATTTTGGAGTCACTTTTATTATAAATAAGAATAGAATATGTTTCTAAACAATTCTACATTAATGTGGATGCTACCATGATGATTATGGATAATCCTGAATAAATCCTGAATAATGATGAGTGAGAAAGTTACAGAGGGTCAAAGATCATACCCCCAAGACATGCTAACCCCTCACCATTTTCAATAACAGGGGAGGTTCTTGGGGGTATGTCTTGGGGGTATGATCTTTGACCCATAGGGGGCACAGGGGCACGTGCCCCCTCAGATTAGTCCTGTTTAAAAAATATATTTATATAATTAATATTTTTTGTTGTTGTTTCGCTATAATACTACTTGCCATCTAGCAATTTTATGATGTTGGCTTTAGCTAGCCCAGATAGGTTCCCAATCTCCCAACCTCTTAATATATATTTAGGGGTGTCAATCATTTTTACCCCTGCCTTTTTGAACAAAACAATTATTACTTGGACCAATGCAAGCCGGTCCAATGCAGCCATTTTTATCTCGATATTAAATCATTTCTAGGTAACAATTAAGTACCTTACTGTGATTTGTTTTAAATTAAAATGGTACAAAAATAGCTTCTTAGCAAAGAGAGATTTCTCAAGCAAGAATTTTGCTAGGACTGTCTGGGAGTGGTCTGAGTGGGGGAAAACTGAAAACTAGCTGTTATTTGCAGAGAGGTTTAGAACTCTTTCTTATTGATCTATTAACTAATTTTCTACCTGGTGATGTCACCAGGCAGGCCAAAACTTCATCCCACCACAACAGGCTGAAATGTCAGGCTGTATTTTCAAACAGCTCTTACACTAAAAAGGTATTATTATTATTTTCCCAATTTCACAGTGTTATTCCAACCTCATAGTGTGGAAATACTTACTGAACAAAAAATTAAACACAACATGCCACAATTTCAAAGATTTTACTGAGTTACAGTTCATATAAGGAAATCAGTCAATTGAAATAAATGAATTAGGCCCTAATCTATGGATTTCACATGGCTGGGCAGGGGTGCAGCCATGGGTGGGCCTTGGAGGGCATAGGCCCACCCACTTGGAAGCCAGGCCCACCCACTGGGGATATATTTACAGACAGAAATACTCCTCAGTACCCCCCCCACCCACCCTCCTCGGACGATCCCGCAGGTGAAGAAGCTGGATGTGGAGGTCCTGTGCTGGCGTGGTTACACGTGGTTTGCGGTTGTGAGGCCAGTTGGACGTACTGCAAAATTCTCTAAAACGACGTTGGAGGCAGTTTATCGTAGAGAAATTAACATAAAATTATCTGGCAACAGCTCTGATACATTCCTGCAGTCAGCATGCCAATTGCACGCTCCCTCAAAACTCGAGACATCTGTGGCGTTGTGTGACAAAACTGCACATTTTCAAGTGGCCTTTTATTGTCCCCAGCACAAGGTACACCTGTGTAATGATCATGCTGTTTAATCAGCTGCTTGATATGCCACACCTGTCAGGTGGATGGATTATCTTGGCAAAGGAAAAAGGCTCACTAACAGGGATGTAAACAACTTTGTGAACAACATTTGAGAGAAATAAGCTTTTAGTGCGTATGGAACATTTCTGGGATTTTTTTATTTCAGCTCATGAAATAACACTTTACATGTTGCGTTTATATTTTTCTTCAGTGTATATAAAACACAGGAAGATCACGTTTTGGACTGTACAAACAAAATATTTTTATCTGAGCGATTGTACAGTGGCTTGCGAAAGTATTCACCCCCCTTGGCATTTTTCCTATTTTGTTTCCTTACAACCTGGAATTAAAATTGATTTTTTTGGGGGTTTGTATCATTTGATTTACACAACATGCCTACCACTTTGAAGATGCAAAATATGTTTTATTGTGAAACAAACAAGAAATAAGATGACAAAAAACAGAATTTGAGCGTGCATAACTATCCCCCAAAGTCAATATTTTGTAGAGGCACCTTTTGCAGCAATTACAGCTGCAAGTCTCTTTGGGTATGTCTCTATAAGCTTGGCACATCTAGCCACTGGGATTTTTGCCCATTCTTCAAGGCAAAACTGCTCCAGCTCCTTCAAGTTGGATGGGTTCCACTGGTGTACAGCAATCTTTAAGTCATACCACATATTCTCAATTGGATTGAGGTCTGGGCTTTGACTAGGCCATTCCAAGACATTTAAATGTTTCCCCTTAAACCACTCGGGTGTTGCTTTAGCAGTATGCTTAGGGTCATTGTCCTGCTGGAAGGTGAACCTCCGTCCCAGTCTCAAATCTCTGGAAGACTGAAACAGGTTTCCCTCAAGAATTTCCCTGTATTTAGCGCCATCCATCATTCCTTCAATTCTGACCAGTTTCCCAGTCCCTGCCGATGAAAAACATCCCCACAGCATGATGCTGCCACCACCATGCTTCACTGTATACATGTGTGGTCCTCTGTAGCTCAGCTGGTAGAGCACGGCGCTTGTAACGCCAAGGTAGTGGGTTCGATCCCCGGGACCACCCATACACAAAAATGTATGCACGCATGACTGTAAGTCGCTTTGGATAAAAGCGTCTGCTAAATGGCATATTATTATTATTACTGTGGGGATGGTGTTCTCGGGGTGATGAGAGGTGTTGGGTTTGCGCCAGACATAGCGTTTTCCTTGATTGCCAAAAAGCTCAATTTTAGTCTCATCTGACCAGAGTACCTTCTTGCATATGTTTGGGGAGTCTCCCAGATGCCTTTTGGCGAACACCAAACGTCTTTAAGCAATGGCATTTTTCTGGCCACTCTTCCGTAAAGCCCAGCTCTGTGGAGTGTACGGCTTAAAGTGGTCCTATGGACAGATACTCCAATCTCCGCTGTGGAGCTTTGCAGCTCCTTCAGGGTTATCTTTGGTCTCTTTGTTGCCTCTCTGATTAATGCCCTCCTTGCCTGGTCTGTGAGTTTTGGTGGGCGGCCCTCTCTTGGCAGGTTTGTTGTGGTGCCATATTTTTTCAATTTTTTAATAATGGATTTAATGGTGCTCCATGGGATGTTCAAAGTTTCTGATATTTTTTTATAACACAACCCTGATCTGTACCTATCCACAACTTTGTCCCTGACCTGTTTGGAGAGCTCATTGGTCTTCATGGTGCCGCTTGCTTGGTGGTGCCCCTTGCTTAGTGGTGTTGCAGACTCTGGGGCCTTTCAGAACAGGTGTATATATATAGATCATATGACAGATCATGTGACACTTAGATTGCACACAGGTGGACTTTATTTAACTAATTATGTGACTTCTGAAGGTAATTGGTTGCACCAGATCTTATTTACGGGCTTCATAGCAAAGGGGGCGAATACATATGCACGCACCACTTTTCCGTTATTTATTTTTTTGATTTTTTTTTTAATTTCACTTCACCAATTTGGACTACTTTTGTATGTCCATTACATGAAATCCAAATAAAAATCCATTTAAATTACTGGTTGTAATGCAACAAAATAGGAAAAACGCCAAGGGGGATGAATACTTTTGCAAGGCACTGTATTACTATAAAATAATGTAATTCCCCAATTTGTTTAGCATACAATATAGCGCAGTATTTTAATTATTTATTTTATACCGTAATTATTACATCTTTATCAAGGGTGTCAATAATTTTGGACCCCACTATATCTCACTGATACAGTTAAACTAGCATCCCAAAACGAAATCATTTACACATGCATTATTAGGTTGTGCTTGAGTGCTGTGCCATCGTAATTCAATTAAAAAAAGTTAAACGTGATTTAGAGAGGATGAGGATTGAGAGGGGGTGTGTGGCGGAGGCGGCCGGGCCCGTTTCCGATCCAGTAAGCCCCCTTCATTCATCATCATTTAGTTTTTAATGGCCTGACAGCTCTGGCAGGGCTGAAAAACGTCTGTGTTCCTTACTGTCACTCCTGCGACGTCCTCCCTCTTCCAACTGTTGTTGTGCTGTCGCTCTCTCCGTCCGCAGATGCCACTCTGGCCCGCTTCCCATTGGCCAGGAAGGGACAAATTGGCACCGGCATCAACTCCAAGCTGTCTGAGATCCGTTTCCGATCCAGGAGAGCCAACCGGGACCCCAGTTATCTATGAAGGACTGTTCCTGCCCACACACCAAGTTGTATTAAATCAACATTTTAGTTCTAGTATTTTATCACATTAACCGTTCAACTGTGTCAGTGTATGAGTACATGTGTGTGCAGAATGTCTTGCCTATGAATTGTTCCACATTGGCTTAAACATTGTCTTCTGCTGGAGGTTCTGTGGAAGAGAATGGCAAAAGGACTCAAAAGACGGGCTAATGATAGAGGAAGGATTCAAGGCCAGTGGAAGAACGTGCATAAGAAACGGCTTTGATGGTTAAATCCCCCCTCTGTCACCGGCCAACCATTAGTAAACCACACGTGAACAGTCCCCGGGGTAGTCTCTCTGACTGACAGAGATGCATAGATCCAGGACTGCTGATCCATGTGTGACCAACCAGTGGAGGACCGGAGGCTTCAGTCATGTCTTACCAGACAGACGCCTCTCTGTCATTGACCTCTACCCACTTAGACAAAGGAGGCGAGAGGGGATTGGAGGGACGCCAAACTATATTTCTCCATTGATTTCTCTGATCCTAGGTATTAAGCTCACTCCAAAAGCTCCATTACCACCCCCAGGTCTCCTCTGCACCCTCTCCCTCCATTCCTCTCCTTCTGCCTGAGAGGAGAATCAATCGTGGCCCCCGCCCAGCCTCCCCCGGAGGTGTCACAGCTCCCCATGCCTAATTGACCCCCAGATACTCTGAGCCTCCAGGAAGATGACAGAAGTCATTCCTTCATCTTAAAGGACTTAAACAGTGTGTAATTCTCCCCAAGTTCACCATGTCCACAGGGCCCACATGAAGAGAATATGAGTGGGGATTTGGCCTGATGCAGATATGAAGTATTGGATTAGATGTAAATGTTGGTAATGAGGAACGATCAAGTTGCTATTTTATATCCGGTTATATGTCTGACGTTCGAGATGTTGAATGTTTGATGTGAATGCATTGAAAGACTGCTGTTTTTCATTGTCCATCATGTTGTGTCCCTCTCTAGTCATCGGAACGATTTGAGAAATGACACATTGATCAATTGCTTAAAAGCTACTTCGTTTTCGGCAGATACATCACATCAAATTGGAAAATGACTTCTGAAATAAAATGCCAAAGAGAGAGGAATAGATCATAGGCAATGAATTACACTGAGTCACTAGCCCATTGATACATTGAAATATCCACTACAGTAGCCCACCTGGGTATTATTTGGTTGATACGTTGATCAACAAGATTACAACCTATTTATCTCTAGGCTTTCAACCATCTTAAAGCACAATCGAATTCCAATGGAAAATCAATGTCTGTTTTTTGGTTTAGTTCTCACCAAAATTTGTTATTGCTGTGCTTTCAACCATTTAAAAGCACAACAAAGTTCAAATGGGAATACAATGTCATATTTTGTTTATTTATACAACGACTTAATGTGTTATCACTGTGCTTCATTGAATATTACAACCAAATGACGTGGATTGCAGTTGAGATGATTAAAGTGCACGGTGTGCAGAACACAGTGGCTGTACAGTAACCCTATACATGACTTCAGAGCTCAGTCGTTCTGAACTTGGACACTGCGCAGAAGTTGCCCCCATCCCTCCCGCTAATTAGGCAACTTGTCTGAGTGAGGGAAATGCTGTAAATTACGAGGACTTGATGTACACTGAGTGTACAAAACAGGAACACCTGCTCTTTCCATGACACCCTGACCAGGTGAATCCAGGTGAAAGCTAAGATCCCTTATTGATGTCACCTGTTAAATCCACTTCAATCAGTTTAGATGAAAGGGAGGAGACAGGTTAAAGAAGGATTTTTAATGCTTGAGACAATTGAGACATGGATTATGTACGTGTGCCATTCAGAGGGTGAATGGGCAAGACAAAAGATTGAAGTGCCTTTTGAAGGGGTTATGGTAGTAGGTGCCAGGCGCGCCAGTTTAAATGTGTCAAGAACTGCAACGCTGCTGGGTTTTTCATGCTCAACAATTTCCCGTGTGTATCACAGTGGTCCACCACCCAAAGGACATCCAGCCAACTTGACACAACTGTGGGAAGCATTGGAGTCAACATGGGCCAGCATCCTTGTGGAATGCTTTCGACACCTTGTAGAGTCCATGCCCCGAATAATTGAGGCTGTTCTGAGGGCAAAAGGGGGTGCAACTCAATATTAGGAAGGTGTTCCTAATGTTTTGTACACTCAGGGTATGATAAAATAAGGATATATTTAATTTGCTCTGTTAAACCTACCCTTTGGAATGCCTTCGATAGCAACAGTGACGCTATTAGGTGGAGATTCCACAACAATAATTCTCTGTAGGGCTAGGTTAAAGAGATACTTTGGGATTTGGGCAATGAGGCCCTTTATCTACTTCCCCAGAGTCAGATGAACTCGTGGATGCCATTTTTATGTCTCTGTGTCCAGTATGAAGGAAGTTAGAGGTAGTTTCGCGAGCCAGTGCTAACTAGCTTTAGTGCAATGACTGGAAGTCTATGGGTATCTGCTAGCATGCTAACATACCCATAGACTTCCACTCATTGCGCTAACGCTAGTTAGCAACTTCCTTCAAACTGCACGCAGAGACATAAAAATGGTATCCACGAGTTCATCTGACTCTAGGGGAAGTAGATAAAGTCTACAAAAAATCCCAAACTATCCCTTTAATACCCTGGATGGCGGACCAAAGGGATAGTAGATAGATCAACGCTCCAGTAGGAGGTGCTGCCCAACGTATTGTTTTTTTTTCTTATAGTGGATATTACGTTGAAGATCTGACGTTGTTTCAAAGGTACAACAATTGGTTACCATGATGACATAATCCTGTGGTTGACAATTCACCCTCAAAACAACAGTTAAGGACTTTTTGCAAATCTAATGGATTTCCCACATATATTCTTCATCACAAATTACTTTGAAACAATGTTGATTTAACCAGTTTGTACCCAGTGGGAATTGACCATTTGCAGAGAGACACTCTGCTAAGTAGGCTACACATGCATGACTCTGCTCTTTCATCCTCAGGAGCCCCTAAGCTCAATTCAAAATGGAAATTGTGTCCATTAATACAAAATGGCCAATTACTATTTTTCATGATAACTTTTCAATGAATGAATATAATATCTTCATCCTGAACCCCTAACCCTAATCCAGTAATGTAGTCCCTCTCCCTATCCATTCCCTTCATCAGAGATGACCTGTAAAGCTTGTCAACTGTCTTTATTCACAGACAACATCAACACTGGGGACTTAACAGACCCTCGTGGGTGTTTGTCCTGATCCCCTTTTGTATCCACTGACAGCTCCTGTCCTGTTTATTGTGGCCTTTTTGTTCTGTGTTGATACATATTCAATAAGCCTGCATTCCATTTAGCTCCAGGGTGTGATGTGAACTTCTGATAGTAAAGATAACCTGAGCTGTCTCCAGAATTCATTCTTGCCTCTGACAGAAACTAAAATGCCAGGGAGTGCTATTAAACCAGGCATCGACTAATTTGACCCCTCCTCCTCAGCCCAATTAATAATTTAATGACTTATTTCATTTTTCTTTCTCTCTCTCTGTCTGTGCATGAGCCAGTCCTCTCACCTGGCCTCCCGGTTGAGGAGAGTAGTTGTTTTCAGAAAGGAGAGAAAACAATCAAAGCACCCCTGACAGCGTGTCGAGTTTAGGGGAGAATGTCAATTGCATACACCTCACGTTCTCTCACAAGGAGTATGCAATAGAGATTCTCCCTATGTCCCTGGCTATGAAATCAATATGGGTTTCTGATGTTTTCATTTGTCTGCTGCGAAACAAGACTTGTCCACAGGTCAAAGGGCAGCTGCACAGCGAGACATCAATAATCCCTGAATGTCAGGGAAAGGTGAAATAAGAAGAAGGAGAGGAAATAACGAAGCCCCTCCTGTGAGAGATAGAGGGAACAGACCGACTCCTCACAGTGAGATGTTTACTGGCTAGGTTCTGAGAGGTAGACAGCACTGTTATCAGATAGAGACAGGAAGATACACAGTATGACACAAACTGACACTGGATAGGCTGTAGAGCAGGGCCACCCCTCTGAGCTGGGTTCCTCCCTAGGTTTCATCCTGCTAGGGATTTGTGCTAGTCAATGTGCCTCTGGTAATGTTTTTGCTTTTGCTTGCTCTTTGGGGTTCAAATCAAATGTTATTTGTCACATGCTTTCGTAAACAAAAGGTGTGGACTAACAGTGAAATGCTTAGCTATTGGCCCTTCCCGACAATGCAGTGAGAAAGAAAATGGAGAAATGATAGAAACGTAAATCACGTAATAATAAAAGTAATAATAGATACACAATGAGTAACGATAACGTGGCTATATACAAGGGGTACCAGTACCGAGTCGATCTGCAGGGGTACGAGGTAATTGAGGTAGATATGTACATATACAGTGCATTCGGAAAGTATTCAGGCACCTTGACTTTTTCCACATTTTGTTACGTTACAGCCTTATTCTAAAATGTTTGCACTTTGTCGTTATGGGGTATTGTGTGTAGATTAAATTAATTTAATCCATTTTAGAATAAGGCTGTAACGTAACAGAATGTGGAAAAAGGGAAGGGGTCTGAATACTTTCCGAATGCACTGTAACTAGGAATAAGGTGACAGAGTAAACAGTAGCAGCAACATGTGTGATGAGTCAAAAAAAGGGTCAAGGCAGATAGTCCAGATAGCTACAGTATTTGGTTAACTACAGTATGTTAACTATCAGTTTCATGGCTTAGGGGTAGAAGCTGTTCGGGGTCCTGTTGGTTTCAGACTTGGTGCATTGGTACAGCTTGCCGTGCAGTAGCATAGAGAGCAGTCTATGACTTGGGTGGTTGGAGCCTTTGCCAATTTTTAGGGCCTTCCTCTGACACCGCCTGGTATAAAGGTTCTGGATGGCAGGGAGCTCGGCCCTAGTGATGTACTGGGCCGTGCGCATGGCACTACCCTCTGTAGCCCCTTGCGGTCAGATGCCAAGCAGTTGCCATACCAAGCGGTGATGCAGCCAGTCAAGATACTCTCAACGGTGCAGCTGTAGACATTTTTGAGGATCTGAGGGCCCATGCCAAATCTTATCAGCCTCCTGAGGGAGAAGAGGTGTTGTCGTGCTCTCTTCACGTCTGTGTCGGTGTGTTTGGACCATGATACATCCTTAGTGATGTGGACACCGCAGCTCTCGACCTGCTCCACTACAGCCCTGTCGATGTGAATGGGGGCGTGCTCGGTCCTCCGTTTACTGTAGTCCACAATCAGCTCCTTTGTCTTTCTGACGGTGAGGAAATGTTTTTGTCCTGGCACCACATTGCCAGGTCTCTGACCTGTTTCCTATAGGCTGTCTCATCGTCAACGGTGATGAGGCCTACCACCGTTGTGTCGTCGGCAAACTTAATAATGGTGTTGGAGTTGTGCGCGGGTCAACAGGGAGTACAGGAAGGGACTAAGCACGCATCCCTGAGGGGCCAATGGGGGTCAGTGTGGCGGATGTGTTGTTGCCTACCCTCACCAC